CTCGCAGAGGCGGGGAGACAGCGCGCCCCCCGCAAGCTCGTCGAGCGCGGCGTGGGGATCGAAGCCGGCCCAGCGCGCCAGGCCCTCCACCTCTCCGGGTCCTCCTCCTCCTCCTCCTCCTCCTCCTCTCCTCCTCTCCTCCTCCCTCCTCCCTCCTCCTCCTCCTCCTCCTCCTCCTCCTCCTCCTCCTCCTCCTCCTCCTCCTCCCTCCCTCCCTCCTCCCCCTCCCTCCCCCCCTCCTCCCTCCCTGCCTCCTCCTCCTCCTCCTCCTCCTCCTCCTCCTCCTCCTCCTCCTCCTCCTCAGGTCAGCGGCGGATCGGGAACGCCAGATCGAATCGGAGTGTGCGTCGAATCTGTGGGCATCCGCACCGAGCCGAGATCGGATCGGAACGGCCTCGCCAGGATGCACAACAGCGCAATGCATGCAAGTATCGGGCAGCATCAGACCGTCGGAATAGGAATATCCGAATCAGATCGGATCGGAACGAGGCGGCCAGAATCAATCTCGAATCGGGCCGATCCAGGACTTACAGCTCGGTACCCCATCTCTCGTGACATCCTTGCACCGTGAGCAAAAAAGAACAACCAAAACGAAACACACACACACACACACAAACACACACACACACAAACACACACACACACAAACAAACAAACAAACAAACAAACAAACAAACAAACAAACAAACAAACAAACAAACAAAACAACAACAACAACAACAACAACAACAACAACAACAACAACAACAACAACAACAACAACAACAACAACAAGAAGAAGAAGAATAGGAAGAAAAAAAAAACGGAACCCTGGACTGCGGCCGCATGCCCACAGGACGCTGTCCAGGAGTCGCCCATGTGGCAGATACCCGAACTGCGTCAGAGGGGAGCCGCCATGGTTACAGCCCTTAGTGCTCCAAGAGACGTCCAAGAGGCACTCAAAAGGCCCCCAAGAGGTCACAAAAAAGACACCGAAGACGCCCCCCAGAGGCTCTGAAAACCGCAAGAGGCCCCCAAGACGTCCCACGAGACCTCTCAGAGGCCCCCAGGAGGCCCCAAGAGGGCTACAAAAGAGATCCCGAGAGACATCCCAGGAGACTCCGAGGGCATCCAAGAAGCTTCTGACCCACGGAGGCTCCCCGAGCTCTCCAAATGATTCCGCGCTCCCCCGAGAAGGGCAGCTCCCCTGTGCATTGTTCCTGGATGGGCTAGTGGGGATACCCGAAGCGTCAAGAATGTCGAAGCGGGTAAAGCCGTGGCAGCGAGGAGTCTCCCAGAGGTTCCAAAAAGACACAAAAAAACGTCTGAAGAACTGTACCCTCGAAGCTCGACGCTTTAATGCAGGACGCCGATGAAGGAACTACACAAATGGAAAAGACTGGAATAAAATTCCCAATCCGCTGGCCCCCTTGTGTGGACACCAGGCTATAGGGCCAGGGTGTGCTGTTCCCTGCACCAATTCCAATTTCCAGTTTCCACTGTTTTAAATATGTTTCTTGCTTCTTACTATCCTTGTTGTAGACCGCGCGAAGGGGGGAGCCGCAAACCGCAATGTTTACCACGCCCAGATCGCGTGCTCAGAATTTCTGGGGGGGGGTCGAAATTGACACCCCCTCACGCAGATCGGCGGGGTCAAATCCAAAAACACATGGGAATTGCCACATTTCTGAAAATCGGTGGCACCCCTCACGCAGATCGGCGGGGCCAGGGTCCCAAAACATTACGCATTTGCTACATGTCTTGAAATTCGGCGGCACCCCTCCTGCAGATCGGCAGGGTCAAGGTCCAAAAACACAGAGGATTTGCCACATTTCTGAAATTCGGTGGCCCCCCTCGCGCAGATCGGCGGGGTCAGGGTCCAAAAGCACAAGGGATTTGCTACGTTTCTGAAAATCGGTGGCACCCGTCACGCAGATCGGCGGGGTCAGGGTCGAAAAATACATGGGATTTGCACAACTTCTAAAATTCGGTGGCACCCCTCACGCAGATCGGCGGGGTCAGGGGTAAAAAAACTCAAGGGATTTGCTACGTTTCTGAAATTCGGTGGCACCCCTCACGCACATCGGCGGGGTCAGGGTCCAAAAACACAGGGATTTGCCACGTTTCGGTGGCATCCCTCCTGCAGATCGGCGGGTCAGGGTTGATGAAAAACATATGGGATGTGTCACATGCCTTGAAATTCGGTGGCCCCAGTCACGCAGATCGGCGGGATCAGGGTCCCAAAACACAATGGATCTGCCACATTTCTGAAACTCAGTGGCACTCCTCATGCAGGTCGGCGGGGTCGGGTTGACAAACATATGGGATTTGCCAAATGTCTAGAAATTCGGTGGCACTCCTCATGCAGATCGGTGGGGTCAGGATCCAAAAAACACATGGGATTTGCAACATTTCAATACTTCGTAGAAAAGCTTGTTGCATAGCATACGCGAGCAAGCTCGAAATGCGACACCGAATTCAACAATATCATCAGAAACTCGATTTGTCTTGCCGATTACTCATTGTCTTCGTGTGAAATCCCGACGCTGCTTCACGGCGGCGCCGAGGCCTCATGCTTGCGCTCTTGCATTGCCCATTATCCGAGAGAGGGGGCCGGCGGCAGGGGGCGAAGCCCTTACGGATAATCTAAACGAGCCAAGCATCTCACCGACGACGACGACGACGACGACGACGACGACGACGACGACGACGACGACAACGACGACGACGACGACGACGACCTCGAGCAAGCCTGGAACCCAATCTGTTCAACACCGCCCGCGGCGCTGCCGCGTGACGCCCCCCCCCCTCGCGAGGGCACGCCTCGGGGGTCCCAGAGCCGAACTTCGCGGCGACGGACCGCGCAGTGACCCCGACGCCCCGAGAAGCCTCCCACCGCGCGGTCAGTCGCCGCACGGCCATGAGTTCGGTCGGGCGTGTCTGAAGGGGCCCTGGGACACACAAATAAATACACACAAATAACAGGATTCCACATATTTTCCTATATTTTCTGGCTTTATCTTCCCCACCACTTCCCATATTTTCCCATATTTTCTCGGGAATCGACGAATCATTGTGTCTGTGTGTTTTTTTCCCTCCTGAGTGTCCCCCGACGGGCGGATTTTCGACGAAAGAAAAAAAAATAATACTCAAGAGATCGTCTCTGGACCATGTTCTTACCATTTTTGGACATTCCTTCTGCAGAGGGACATGCCCGACTGAAGCCTTGGGACCTCGGAGCGAACGAGGCAGCCATACGGCGAACGCGCGTGCGGCGAGCGTGCTGGCGACGCCAGACGCGTCAGCTGGCGGGCAAGAAGCGCGCCAAGCGCGTATACTCCGAGGCGTCCTCGGGGAGGCCCCCGGTGTCCCGAGACGTCTCCGGAGAGCGGGCCCAGTCCCGATGCGGGGTGGTGACCCCGAAGCCCCGCCGACTCACCATGCGGCGTGGTCACCACAACGTTTGGGGCCCCCACGAATTTCTCCTCCTCCCCCTCCTCCTCCCCCTCCTCCTCCTCCTCCTCCTCCTCCTCCTCCTCCTCCTCCCCCTCCTCCTCCTCCGTGTCGTGAAGACTTCGGCGTTGGTCTCTCACACCGCGTGGATCGTTCGACCTTGAACGATCGAGGGCTTTTCGATCGCCAGATCGCTCCACACTGGCCGAGACTGGGCCGCCGCCCGCGTTCAACCTTGAACGCCCACAATAAGGTCGCCGGCCGCGTCGACACGACACGAACCAGCCGTACATTATGCCTGGGGACAGCGCCGTCCCAGCCCACCGCCGCGGCCACGAGCGCTGGCGCGCCCGCACGCGCCCGGGCTGCCCCGGAGCCACACTCCTGCAGAGTGCCTCCCAAAGGGAGCAAGAGTAGACGGAGTCGGAGGGTCGCGCCGCATGACCACGCATCGGCGACGACGGCGTGGCGAACATCAGGCTCCACATCGAGACACGTCGCCGATGCCCTGAGATCCGACGCTGCGAATAAAAACATCTCAAAAAATCACGCGTGGAGCTCTAGACCCCGCTTCTTTTGGGAGCCCGATCGATCCGAGACGGGGCCCGAAACCGGGCGCAGAACGCCCGTGGTGGAAAGATTGCAGCGCCCGGACTTGAAGGAGCATCGGCGATGGCGGCGCGATCCTCCGCCCACCTCTGCTCGGGCCCCGTGTGGGAGGCCTGGGCTCCCGGCCCACCGCCGAGGCCACGAGCTCCGGCGCGTCCGCTCGCGCCGAGGTCGCCGCGGAGCCGCACTCCCAGCTGCATGAAGGGAGCAGGTCCTGAGGGCAACGGCGTGGGACCCGGCGCGTTCCCCTCCCCAGACGTGCTCGCGTCGTTTTACGCATACGCTTTAAATAGTGTGCGTGTGCATAAATGTATATATATATATATATATATATATATATATATATATATATATATATATAATATACATATATATATACATATATATATATATATATATATATATATATTGGGAGGTTTTTCGCCGTCGCCGAGCCCCAGGACCGTGAAAGAACGACTGAGGATGAGAAACCGGTCCTGAGGAAAGGGTCCGGACTTCGGGGGGGCCCGCACTGGAAAGATCAGGACATCGCACGTCTGGGCCTGGGACCAGCTGTTTATCCAGATCCGTCTATATTGACGGCCCCGGGGTCCAGGAACGGCCCCCAGATGCCCAAAAGCGGCGAAACACACAGCAGGACCCCAGTCCATCAGGATTCATTCGCGGCGATAGAAAGCGTTTTGGGGGGGAGGGAGGGGGGGCAAGCTAGGTGCGCTCGCGTCATACCTGGCGTCCTACCCCTCTCTCCCATCCCTTACCATGGCATAGACATCCTCTCTATTCGCACAGTCGGATGTCGAGCAGGGCAACGATCGCGAGAGGGTACGCGATGCATGGTAAAGCACGGCATGGCATGGCATGGCGTAGAACAGCACGGCAGAGCGTAGCATGCTATAGCATGACGTGGCACTGCGCTGTGAAGCATTGCATCACAAAGCATTGCAACGCAAAGCATGGCATCACACAGCGGCGCAGAACACAACACCGCACAGCATGCCATGGCATGGCGCTGGATCCCTTGAAGGGTAAGTGGATCGTCTTCGAGAGGTCTGGGCTGGTCTCGAGTCGTGGCTCCATGTCTAGCTCCTTGGGCTCCCCGAAAAGCTCAACGCAAGGCGGGACTGATGGAGAGCACCCTCTGGCTGTGCTTCCAATATCGCCTTCTAAAAACAGAAACGGTGCTCCCGTCTGATACTTCCTGAAATCAACGACGCCCCAGTGAAGGGGGGTCCACGGCCCAACAAAATCAACGAATCGACACCGAATGTGTAATCACTTCGGATGGTTTTGTCGGGGAGCCATTTTCTAGATTTGGGCCTGCTTGGGAAGGACCAGAAACGCCCGCGCTGCAGCGGAAGCACGATTTGGAACAACCAGAGGCGCAGAAATGGGGCCAGCGCTTCAGCGGGATCGATATTGTTCCTTCTTTCTTGTTGCCCCTCCCCCCAAAAAACGAACACCCATTTCCCGGGAATCCTGTGTAAAAAAACGTGCGCGGAGCGGGGCCGGACATCTTCCGGACGTCATCAGGGGAGAGGGGAGAACAGCTTTCATGGTGTATAATTTGAAGGGGCCCTGGGGCACACAAATAAATACACACCAATAACAAGATTCCTCATATTTTCCTATACTTTCTGGGTTTTTGTCTTCCCCCCCACTTCCCATATTTTCCCATATTTTCTTTGGAATCGAAGATTAATTGTGTCTGTGTTTTTTCCCTCCTGATAATTGTGGATGGGGGGGAGGAGGGGGCCAGGGTGGGCAAACGTAACGCCCCCCGCCCCCGCCGTGTGACTCCAGCACCACCGACTGTGGTGCTGGACGCACCACTGCGGCAGTGCCAGGGACGCACTGGGGAGCGCTGTGTTGTGGCGGGGAGGGAAGGGGGAGGGGGGGGGGGGCATAACGCGCGTTATGGCCCAGATTGTAAAAACACCCTCTTTGGACGCCCGATTTGGGTACGGAAAGAATGGGTACAATGCCCAGCAACAAATGTTGTCCCAAACCAACAGCGGCCGCTGTTGGGCAGGCGGCCTTCTGTCTCAAATGGACACAGGCCGCGGCGGCGCGGACAGCGAGCCCTGTTCAAGATGAACAGGAACTGCTGTTGGGCATCGTGCCCATTCTTTCCGTCCCCATTTCTAGGGCGACGAGATCTATGCATATCCACTGCTCCTGGCCAGGCCCATCCTGGGCCCAGGAGCGGTGTATATGCCTCCCTGGCCAAGCCAGGAGGGCGTATACACAGCTCTTGGGCCCAGGATTGGCCTGGCCGGGAGCAGTGGATATGTATAGATATCGTCGCCCTAATTTCGTTCGTGCAGACCCTCTTGCCCGGCATCAGCAGTCGTGACTCTCTCACAGCGTGGCTCCCCGGGAGCTGGACCCCCTCCGGGGCACGGGCTCTCCCTCCCCGAGCCGCCCTCGGGACGGCCCCGGCGGCCCGACGAGGGCCCCCAGAGGCCGAAGAGCCTGCGAGAAACTGTCCCTTGTGATTTCTTCGCGAGGAGGTGCCCAGACATGCGATGTCCAGATTGACTTCAATACGGGCTCCCCCCGAAGCCTTGGACCCTGTCCCTGGGAGTGACTTCTCATCCTAGGCCGTCTTTTTCGACGGCCCCTGGGCGCAGTTAGGACCCCCAGAAGCCGGACGAAAAGCCTCCCATCCTGATTTTGTTCACGACGCGAGCATGTCTGGGGTCGGGGTTGTTAACTCATTTGAGCAGGGACCGACCGTCCCACCATTCCAATAACCCCATGCTCACGATAATAAACACTACGGGATAATAAAGTTCGGGGTTCAGGGGGAGATAATCAAAGTAGCCCACCAGACCTCAGCATAATCTCGAAGTAAGAGATGATCCAGAGGAGACCAAACCGAGCACGTTTTGAGACGCCCTTGGCGTTTAGTCTTCATTAAAATATCCTCAACAATGGCTTATCTCGCTGGAGACATCCTCGACAAATCCCTTGTTTCGCTTGAGACATCCACAAACTATTGCTTATTTCGCTTGAGACACCGTCAAACTATTGCTTATTTCGCTTGAGACATCCTCGAAATAATTGTGTTTTTCGCTTGAAACATCATCAAACTATTGCTGATTTCGCCTGAACATCCTGAAACTATTGCGTATTTCGCTTGAGACATCCTGAAACTATTGCTTATTTCGCTTGAGACACCGTCAAACTATTGCTTATTTCGCTTGAGACATCCTCGAAATAATTGTGTTTTTATTCTCGAAGGTCTCATTGTCTGGTTCTGCTCTCTGAGCAGCCATCTGCTTGAGCAGCTCTGCTTCAGCAGCTCACCTTGAGCAGAGAGAGATAGTGAGAGAAAGAGAGAGAGAGGAGAGGAGAGAGAGAGAGAGAGAGAGGTGAGACTCTCTCTCTCTCTCTCCCGCCGTGCGCTCCTCTGAGGTTTATTATCGTCGGCAGTTTTTTTTATCATCGGCTGAGGTTTATTATCGTCGGCAGTTTTTTATCATCGGCAGCGGTCAATCGCAACTCCTGAGCTCTCCCGGAAGACGGCGGCACGCAAATGATACGCATTTTTTGAAAAACTTCATTTTGAAAAAAAAAACTTTTTTAATTGCGAATTCCATTGTAATCCTTTCAAAATTGCGAAATCGAGCCGTCAGGCGCTTGAATGCCACATTGCGTTCGAGATTTAAGCACGCGACGCATTTATGAGAAATTTGCGTCGCACGCGCTTTTGCCCGAATATCGAACGCAGTGTGGCATTCAGGCGCGTGCGGGTTCGAATTCGCAATTATGGAATTCGCAACCAAATATAAATTTTTTTGTCAAAATAAGGTTTTTCAAAAAAATGCGTGTCATGAGAAAATTGCGTCGCACACGCTTTCGCCTAAATCTCAAACGCAGTGCGGCATTCAAGCGCCTGACGGCTCGATTTCGCAAATTCGAAAAGATTTCAATGGAATTCGCAATTAAATAAAATATATGTGTTTTCAAAATGAAGCTTTTCAAAAACATGCGTATCATTTGCGTGCCGCCGTGTTCCCGGAGAGCTCAGGAGTTGCTATCGACCACTGCCGATGATAAAAAAGCGCCGACGATAATAAACCTCAAGAGGTTGTGCTGAGGGGTTGTGCTGCAGGGTTGTGCTGGAGGGTTGTGCTGGAGGGTTGTGCTGGAGGGTTGTGCTGGAGGGTTGTGCTGGAGGGTTGTGCTGGAGGGTTGTGCTGGAGGGTTGTGCTGGAGGGTTGTGCTGGGGGGGTTGTGCTGAGAGAGAGAGAGAGAGAAAAGGACAAAAAAAAAGATAAAAAGAAATATATTTTTTAGAATAAGAAAGATAAAACACATTTCGCAGATTTTGTTTCTAATAAAAAATCTTATAGTAAAGAAGAAGAATAATAAGAAGACTAATAAGAAGAGAAGATATATAAAAAGAAAGACAGATAGAGGAGGAGGAGGAAAAGCAAAAATTTCAAGTTTCAAATCCACCAGATTTTATTTAGAAACGCTTTATGAAAATTGAGAAAGAGAGAGAGAGAGAGAGAGAGAGAAGAAGAGGAGATAATGAAAAGCAAGAGAGGAAGGAGAGGAGGAGAGGAAAGGAGAAGACAGGAGAGGAGCAAGAGGAGAGAGAGATAGAGAAACAGAGAGAGAAAAAAGACAGAGAGGAAATAATAATAATAAAAAAACGATCAGAATGTCCAAGGATAATCAACCCCAGGGATAAACAAGTTCAGGGGGGCATGGGGGGGAGAGAGACAGAGAGATAGAAAGAGAGAGAGAGAAGAAATAATGAAAATGAAGGGGAGAAGAAAAATTCAAGAGGAGAAGTAGAAGAGGAGAGGAAGAGGAAAAGCAAAATTTCACGTTCCAAATCCATTATATTTTATGTACAAACGCTTTATGAAAATTGTTGTTTAAGTGCTCGTGTAGGAGCTCATGTGCCTCTCTTTCCGTGGATAATCAACCCCAGGGATAAACAAGTTCAGGGGCGCATGGGGAGAGAGAAAGGTATAAAGAGAGAAATAAAGAAAACAAAGAGAGAGTTGAGGGAAATACATAAAATAAATATTAAAAAGGAAAAGGACAAGAAGAAATGAGGAGGAGAAGTAGAAGAGGAGAGGAAAAGAGGATAAAACAAAAAATCTGAAGATTCAAATGTATTATTTTTTTATTTACACGCGCTTTATGAAAATTGAAATTTTTAAGTGCTCGTGTAGGGTAGCTCATGTGCCTCACTTTCCGTGGATAATCAACCCCAGGGATAAACAAGTTCAGGGGGGCATGGGGAGAGAGAGGAAAAAAAGAAAGAAATAAAGAAAAATATAAAGACATAAAAATATAAATTAAGAAAACAGAAGGAGAAGAGAAGAGGAAGAAAAGGAACAAAAATTTCAAGTTCCAAATCTATTAGATTTAATTTACAAACGCTTTCTGAAAATTGATTTTTTTGAGTGCTCGTGTAGGGGCTCATGTGCCTCACTTGCCATGGATAATCATCACCAGGGATAAACAAGTTCAGGGGGGCATGGGGAGAGAGAGGAAAAAAAGAAAGAAATAAAGAAATATATAAAGAAATGAAAAATAGATATTAAGAAAAAAGAAGGAGAAGAGAAGAGGAAGAAAAAAGAGCAATCCTCGAGTATATGCTTGTTTCGCTTGAGACATCCTCGACAAGCTTCTCGAATCGCTTGAGACATCCTCGCAGAATTGCTGGTTTCGCTTGAGACATCCTTGAAACATTGCTCGTTTCGTTTGAGCCTGCCTCCCAAATTTCTTGGTTTCGCTTGAGACATCCTCACAGAATTGTTGTTTTCGCTTGAGACATCCTTAAGAAACGTATCGTTTCGATTGAGACATCCTTCAGTATATGCTTGTTTCGCTTGAGACATCCTCGAGTATATGCTTGTTTCGCTTGAGACATCCTCGACAAGCTTCTCGAATGGCTCGAGACATCCTCGAGTATATGCTTGTTTCGCTTGAGACATCCTCGACAAGCTTCTCGAATCGCTTGAGACATCCTCACAGAATTACTGGTTTCGCTTGAGACATCCTTGAAACATTGCTCGTTTCGTTCGAGCCTGCCTCCCAAAATTCTTGGTTTCGCTTGAGACATCCTGAAAAAAGTGTGATCGCTTCGCTTGATGATGATATGTCAACATAACTTGATCTTGCTATCTCAACAAAACGTTCCGAGGTGATAATGAAGTTTGGCCTCCGCGCCCCGCGCCCCCGACCAAACTCTTATTGGTCGACGATAAAAAACTCTAACGACTTAAGGGGGGGGTACATTATCATCGTGGGCATGGGGTTAGGCCTATCATCAATAGGCCTACCACAAGGAGAAGACAGCTCTAAAAACAAAACAACGTCAAGACATAAATCCGATTGACTCAAGAGAGACAGTCCCGGCCAGAACTATGCTGAGAGCATGCCGTGCAAAACTCCCTGGGTCACCTATACGCAGAGCAGGACGCTTCGCTGGGGTCTAGACTTGTTTTTCGATGGAGGTGGCCCGCTTGCGCTGGCCGTGGCGTTTCCCCCCCCCGAAATGGGGGAAGAGGCGGCCACCAGGAGCCTGTCGTTGCCGCCGCGAGCTGGGCGCGCGTTTTGCTACCCTGGCTTGCGGCACGCACGTGCGCGGCCCACGGGGGGGGGCCAGGGACGTCATGAAATGAGAATAGGCGCCATGAAATTTGAGGAAATCTCATGGCCAACGCCATGATACCCCCCCCCCTAGCCATCACCGCCCTCTTGGCCGCCCCCGAGCCACGGCAGGATCGGCCCCTGGGGCCCCCGTGCGGGGGACTACTGCGCGCGGAACGTCGACAGCGTATGTGGATGCCGTTTTTAGGCGGCGAGCCCAGAGGCAGGAAGGAGGAGGAGGAGGAGGAGCAGGAGGAGGAGGAGGAGCAGGAGGAGGAGGAGGAGCAGGAGGAGGAGGAGGAGGAGCAGAAGGCCGTCTCAGAAGGCTCAGAAGTCCCCAGGCCTTCTGGGGAGTTCCTGGGCCTTCCCCGAAGACACAGAGAACTACTCAGAAGGCCCGAGGGCTTCTGAGAAGCCCCGCCGCGCCGCCGCCTTCTAAGAAGGCCTTCTCGCTCCCCCCCCCTCGCTCGCCGCCGAGTTTGCAAGGGCTCCCAACTTCGCGCTTGGCGCTGCGCGAAGCGCGAAGTGCGAATAATAACTTCGCGCTCTCGCGCCGCCTCCCAGGGGAGAAGAGGAGGATGAGGAGGAATCGGAGTCGAACGGCGAAGCGCGAAGCGCGAATGACTTCGCGCCCTCGAGGGCGCCCCTGGTGTTCTGCTCTTCGAGCGACGGCAGACTCCTGGACGAGCTCCGGCGGGTGGCCGCCGCCGCGCTCGCCGCCGCCGCCGGGCTCGCCGCCGAGACGCTGCCAGAGGCCGCCGCTGGGCTCGCCCGGGGCGCCCCGCGCGGAGCCGCCCGGCGCGGCCTCCTCCTCTGGGGAGGGGCGGGGCCCAGGGAGGCACCAGGAGATCGGCACAGATCCCGAGCTTCCCCAGGGCGTCACATCTCCTGGCTCGTGCTCCGCCCCTCCCCAGGCGACACGCTCGCGTCGTGTGGCAAAATCAGGACGGACGTTTCTCGCCGTGATCGGCCTCCGGGGGGGCCTCGCCGGGCCCCAGGCCTGACCGTCCAAGAACGACTCAGGATGAGAGACCAGTCCCCCATCCTCCTCCTCCTCCTCCTCCTCCTCCTCCTCCTCCTCCTCCTCCTCCTCCTCCTCCTCCTCCTCCTGCCCCTCCTCCTCGCCGGGGGAAGGGTCGGGACTTCGGGGGGCCCGCACTGGAAACATCAAGACATCGCGCATGTTTAGGGGCCCCTCCCCCAAGGCCGTCCAACAAAAGAGAACGGCTCTGGGAGGCCCTGACCTCTCCAGCACAGCAGCGCCACGAAGTCCCGACCCTTTCCCCAGGACCGGCTTGCTGTCCTGCGTTGGCTCTGGACGGTCCCGCGGCCCAGCGAGGACCCCCAAGGAGGCCGAAAACGGCGAAAAGCAGCCGCCCTGATTTTTGTTGCCGACGCGAGCAGGCCTGGGTCCAGAGGTCCGAGGGCCCGCGCACCGAGTCATCGAGGCGCCCGATGTGCAGCAGTGGCCCCAGGCGCAGGTGCCGTCTGCTGCGCGGCCTGCCGGCGGCTGCACGCGATGCGGCAGAAGCGACCTCTCTGTCCTCCCCCGAAAAGTCTGGGTGTCGGCGAGTGTCTTTGTCCCCGCAGCCTCTGGCGGGCTCCGCTCGTGGTCCAGCTTCCAGGCCTTGCGGACCCGACTGATGTGAAGGGGGGTGAGCCCGTCGGCGTCGAGCTCGCAGAAGCGGCAGTCCCGGAAGATCGCGGAGAGACGATCGCCGTCAATGCGCGTCGCCAGGATGTGTCATTCGCCTGCTAATGGCAGTCAGACTTCCGGGGATCAGAGTTAGCGAAGGGGAACCTAAGAAAAACAGAGAAACATGCTACAAGTACTGGCC